CAACTGTTGCTGCTGAATTTGCTTTAGTCTGCATACTAGTTGAGCGATAATCTTAAAATAAGTGTGAAGAAAAGAAACGCTTTCGACCTGGCGTAGAACAACCAATATTTAAGCTAGTCTTTTCTTTTAACTGTTGTTAAAAGCCCCAGTCTGGCTCTAAAAAATTTATTATGGTTGAAAGTTGCTTGTTACATGAAAAACGGAGATTTTTTTTTTTGAAGTGGATGACAATAAATTTTTTCGTGTAATGTTTATATTGAATGACACTTGATTTGCAATGTCCCACAACTATTAAGGGATTTTTTGGTGTTTTAATAGTGTGTAGCCTCTTAATTATATTCATGATATTCATGAATAAAAACCCTACAAATTAATAGACAATCTGGATAAAGAGAATATAAATCAAACAAAAAATCTTCAGATTGTTGAAAGCAGAGAAGAATCTTCTGGATACTCATCATCAGAAGATATATTCGTGGTGACTGTACAAAGGTATAAAAGAAGGAAAAAATGTGATAATGGTGAAAATGTTAATTGATTTTTAAATCAATAAACTTTAAAATGAAAAAAGAATCCTTCAGACTATTCAATGGGTAAAGCATAAGGTAAAATATATACATGCAGCCCAAAGTATTTTGACACTGTCATAAAGGGGGTTACACATGTAGTAAAGGAGTATTACACTTATGTTTTTAATAGTGAATGCCATAATTAATTTATACTTTCTACCATCAAAATTGGAATAATTTTGACCATCAAAATCACCAAACCAATTTGGGGTGCATGTATAGTAAAATAACAATGTATACATTATTACATACATAATATATATAGTATATTAAACATGAAAAAATTTTTTTTTAATCAATTTACAGATATCACTTCTTGCTCTAGTGGTTGATTGTAATCAATCATAAATAAATGGATATGTATAAATTATTGTTATTATAATTTAATATTTAACAAGTAATTTCTGTAGAAAAAAGTTAAAATAAAAATATATTTAATAATAATAAATTAAAGTGATTGACTTTCCAAGTAATTTATTTGATAAATTTACAATAGATCATTTGAATCTTTAGTACAGTCAACAATCATTTCAACAGGCTTTTTTTCAACAAATTTAAGTGACTACCCCCATGAATAATAATGACTCCCTGAAATCCTTGGTAATATCAATGTTCACTTTGTCTGGTTTTGTTGCAGCATGCCTAAGGTTGTGGGAGAAACTCCTCCAGAAATCAATTGACAGAGTTTCGACAGGTTACACATTAATTGTTTATTAGAGTTTCGGCAGAGTTTCGCATTTGGGGTTTTTGCCAATCATCAGAGTTTCGACAGGTTACACATTAATTGTTCATTAGAGTTTCGACAGAGTTTCGACAGTCATTAAGAGGTTTCGCCCACAACCTTAAGCATGCCCCATTTACTATTTTACACTATAAGAATTCTCTGCTTCATTTGCATATTGTCAATTAAGAAAAACTAGCCAATAAGTTTTGAAGCTTGAGTCAGAACAATAAAACTTATCAGTTAACTTTTTTAAAATGATATAAAAATTTTTTGTTTTAGTATTTTGAATGACCAATTGTTACCACATAGTGAGTCTTGAATTATAAAAAATCAAAATATACTCTTTAATTTGACATATTTTTTGCCAGGGTAACAAATAAGACTTGAAGGAAATCTTAATGTGAAGTTGGCCTACCAGCTCTATACAGTGTGTTTCAAAAAAAAGGGCGCGCACAAAAAATTGCATATCTTAACAATTATGCAAGATAAACAAATAAAATTAGATTCATTTAAAAGCCTATCGAATACTTTATTAAATAAATAAAAATTAATAAGAAATTCTATCTCCGTTTTTTTCTAATACCAATTCACATCTCTGTTTCATAGACATAATAATATTTTTGACCGTATCCTGTGGAATTTTCTCCCACTCCTCAACCATAGATCTCTTTAATTTGTCAACATTCTTTGGCATTCTTTTTTCGACATTATTTTTCATGATATACCACATGTTCTCAATGGGATTAAAGTCAGGACTATTGGATGGCCAGTCTATTGGACGAATTCTTTTTTCATCAATAAAAGTTTTTGCACGTCAAAAAATAAAGAAAAGACAATATGATAAATACATATAGGAGTTGCTTATCATATAAGCGAGATATCCAATCATTTTTCATCATGTGAAAAATTTTTTATTCATCTCAAAATTTTCAAAATGAATTTACATTGTGCGCGCCCTTTTTTTTTGAAACACACTGTATACTTTCCATTTTTTACAGGTAAAAAAAGAAAGGGGAAACAAAATCGCAAGAGAATTAAGCAATAGAAGACCATTGTGGCTAATTTTAGTTAAATTATCAGGAAGTCCAGCGACTATAATTTTCAATTCTGTGTTTTTCGTGTATTTTTCCATGCATTTTGTAAAATTTCCACAAATAAAATATCTTATTAAAAAAAAAATCCATATAGTGTAATGATGCAAATGAAAAATCGGTATAAGAGTTCAGTTAGTTCTTAGCAATAAAAACGTCCATTTTTATTTGCGAATTTATCAATTAATAATAATAATAATAATAAGTTTTATTTTCGACATTAATAATATAGAATCTTATTCACACATTCCACGTTTACGGAATGATAAACACGATCACGGAGATATAATAATAATAATAATAATGGAAATATTTCGGAGTGTCATTCTTTAGAGGGAGGTGGGTATCTAATTTTAAATTATTTGTTTGTTTGCAAAAGAAAAAACAAAAATAATTTACTCTAAAGATGTTAATTTTATTACCCTACCATAAGGAACTGGTATGAATCAATTTTACGAAGAAATAATCTAAAAAATCTATAAAAATGACAAATGGTTATTAGGGGGAAGAAAAAGAGATCATTCTATCATCCCATAAAAATAACAAAATCCTGCCCCCAAAAAAGAAGCAGATAGCACTAATATCCCTTCTTCACACGACCAAGGAAAAAATCAAAACAGTTAACCGAAAAATACTCTTTCTAATAGACAATGATCTTTCCACTGCATCTAATGTTAGAAAAGAAACCATTAACCAATTGTACCAAGTATTCTCATAAGCATGGGAATGAACATCATCAATCTAGACAATAACCAAGATTGATTGACAAATTGTAGGTATGCTTGAGGCTGGAGGCTTCGTTTGTATTCAGCAAAGTATATTTCATCACAACTGTGGTTACACTTAAAGCTCCTCATGAGCTGGCTTGTGAGCTGGCTCATGTGGAGCCTTAGTTACACTTGAAAAAAAATGTGGCGGCAAACATCTCAACATAGATGTTGTGTATTTGTAGAAAGGCCCAAATTAATGTTGATAGTTATATCTTTTTTTAACTATTAAATATTTTTTAAACTTACTGGAATGTATAAAAGAATATCTTTCGTTGAATAAATATAATAATAATATTGTATTTAGTTAGGTTTGCAGCACTGAAGTAACTAATTATTTTGTCAAAGTCAAAAGGCACTTAATAAATTAGTCAATCTTTTTCAAACGTCAACAAGGGAAAGAGATATTTTAATTAACATTGTTGCACCATTGCTGAGTAAAACATTAAATCAATTCAATATATGTGAATTCTCGTTGTACTGGTATGTTGCATGCATACCCTCAACTAGTTTTCAGGTAAATGAAATAACGTTCATTTTGATTTATTAGGATTGAAAAAGAATGTGTGGCAGTCACAAGCAGGAAATGAAAATACATAAACACAGACTATACAAACTTAACAAACGATTATCAAAAATTTGATTGTATTGCTGAAATAAGGAATTTTGGGCTCGAACTACTGTTGCTTGAGGCTGGTGATGACAAGACTGACATTTATGGTAGAAAATATCACAATGACCACTCACAATTAAAAATAGCATTAAAGGATTGCTTAGATATGTTTATGGAATGGTTACATCTGTCTACAGCAGAAATATCTGAAATTTGCACACTTGGATTGCAAATTATTGGTAATCGAACAAAAATCTTTATTGAAATCATTGATGGCAAAAAAAATTTTTTTTTCTAATGCCAATTTTATTGTTTTAATAGATACAAAATGGATCATCTATTCAATGACCTATGATCCTTTATCCAAATACTATTTTTTTCACCAACTATGTTCTTTTCACTTTCCGACATCATTCTCTGATTTGGAATTTTTTCTGCCATATCTTATAGAAAATTTATTGTCACTTCGGGTATGTATCTAATGAAAGTGTAAAATATGGTGTTGGTAATTGTTTTCTATTGTTTAACTTAATTGGTTGTACATCATTAGCACACTATGTTAAATATGGTGAACAAAACCAAAGAAGTTACGATTGCTGCAAGAACAACTACGCCATCACCTCAATCATCACCGTTACATGAGACACCTGAAACTCCTCCACAAATAAAATGAACAAAAGAGAATCCTTTCAAAGAAATTTTTCAAGGGATATACTGATCTTACATAATTGTAAAATTCACAAGTAAATCGGAACAGAAATATCAATAATAATATATATTATATACAATAATTGTTTAATCATAAAGATTTTTAACTCCTAGTAACATTAGCACTATTGTTCATACATTTATTAAAAATAATAACTTGCATTATTACATAACGTAAAGCATTTCCCAATGTATGATCTTCTTCTGATATGTTAAA